CCATATCACTCCAACTTCTGTATCTAGAGTGATTTCCTGCTTAGACTCTTCTACAGCTAGCGGCATGGACAAAATACCTGTTATAGTCTTGCAAAAGTGTTCTCCGGAGCTGTCGTCTATCCTTTCAAGACAATTTAACAAGAGCTTATCAGAGTCTTTTTTTCTAGCCTGCTGGAAAGCAGCATCTGTTATCCCTATTTTCAAAAATTCTGAAAGCGATCTGATTTATCTAACTACCGTCTCATTAGTCTTCTTCTTATCCTAAGCAAGGTTTTTGAATCTTTAATTAACAAACATTTAATCCCTCATCTTTAATCTTATAACTAACTTTCTGATCATTAATATGGATTTGCTGATTTGCTAACAGTAATAACCGATAGGTTTTATTGTGCATTAGATAAATGCACAATAAAACCAAAGAGAGGTTAGGGTTATTGCTCTTAAAGTGTTTAATAAAGTTTTGTTTAACATAAGTTTTGTCTTAAGGCATGTCTTGTCTTGGTCCGTAATCTTTCTTCTTATGGTGTACCTGGAAACATCTTTACAATTATTTAATCCTTTCTTTCTAATTGTATATATAGTATATAAAAATATATAAATAATATGTGCAAAATTAGGTGGAGAGGTTAAGGTTATTGCTCTTGACATTTTTTAAGCGTTTAATAAAGTTTGACATACTGGTCTTGTCCATAAGCTTTCTTCTTATGGTGTATCTGGAAACATCTTTACGAATATTGAATCCTTTCTATCCAATTGTAGTATAAAAGCTGTCCTTGATGGACAGCACTCTTCTTCTTATTCTGTATCCTCAGGGGATCTTCAAGGTTCAATCCTTGGCCCTATATATTTTTTAATTTACATTAACGATCTTCCAGATACTCTCACATCAAAGGTGGCATTGTTTGCTGATGATGCTACCATTTATTCTTGTCACAATAAAAAGCCAACTCTCTCTGATTGCTTGCAGGGGGCATTTGAGCTTGAAATGGATCTCACTTCAGTTACAGCATGGGGCTCACAGTGGCTGGTGAACTTTAATTCAGAAAAAACTAATTTTTTTTCAGTCAATCAGTATTGCAATAATTTAGATCTTCCTATATTTATGAAGGGTAATGTACTTGATGAGTCATCTACCCTTCATGTTCTAGGATTAACTCTCACTTCTGGTCTTTCTTGGGAACCTTTTATCAAATCCGTTACAAAATTAGCATCTGCTAAAGTTGCATCTCTTTATCCGGCTCGACGCTTTCTTACTCTGGATTCTATTCTCTATCTCTATAAATCTCAAATCTGGCCTTGTATGGAATACTGTTGCCATATTTGGGGCGGATCTCCTAATGATACCCTTTCTCTTTTAGACAAGGTGCAAAAACGCATATTAAACATAGTTGGACCTGCTCTTGCAGCCAACCTTCAACCTCTCTCACATTGTCGTAATGTTGCTTCTCTTTCTCTTTACAAATACTATAATGGGCACTGCTCAAAAGAGCTAGCGTCTCTTGTGCCATTTACTAAAATTCATTCTCATGTTACTAGTCATTCAATTAAATCTCATCCTTTTTTTTTTACTGTTCCTAAGTGCTCCAAAAACTCTTATTTATCTGGTTTTTTTCCTCGAACATCAGAATTCGCTTCCTTCATCTTGCTTTCCTGATTTATATAATTTGCAATCTTTTAAGTCATCTGTCAATCGTTATCTTGCTCTACAACCTTCAACCTTTCTCTTCCAGTAACTTCCAACACTAATTAGTGGTTGCTTGCAGCCTTGTTAGAAGCAAAGATGCTAATATATATATATATATATATATATATATATATATATATATACATATATTTTTTAACAATTTTCTTTTTTTTAGATCATCACTGCTTTTCTGGTCTTTTAGAATTACACGGCGCATCCATCTAATCATCGTACTTTCTGTCTTTTCTAAACGCTGAACATCATCAACCTTTATTGCCCATGTTTCACTCCCATACATCATAACACTAGAAAGTCACTAGCCATTCTTCAATACCAAAACACCTTAAAATCCACCACACCACCTCAATTGGAACTCTGTCAAAATCTAGGTCAATAAATGCTAGGTCAAAAGCTAGGTCAATAAATCTTTTTTAAACTAGCCTTACAATAAAAACAGCATCTGTCGTTCCGTTTCCTGGCCTCAAACCAACTGAATGTTATTGATAAATACACTGCTCATTATTTCGTTTTCAATAATTTTTTCTAAAATCATCATTACCTGGTCTAGCAATTTGATTCCTCTATAAAAACCTCTGAAGATCAGACATTCAATGAAAACCTACATCACCTGAAGCTTTCAACACCTCTTCCAATACACCAGAAGGACCAGCAGCCTTACCTAACTGAGCTTTCTTAATAGGTATTTCACTTCATTCATGTTGCCTGTTCTGCTGGCTCACTAACCTTATTCACTGCAGACACAGCAGAGCCTTCTTCTATCCAAACTCTTTATTTAGCAAATTTTTTAAATGACTTATCTACCTTGCTTTTACCTCAACTTCATTTATAAATTTTTTACTACCTCTTTGATATAGCCTTCTCCCATAACATCTCTATTCAAGCATCTCACATATTAGTATCTTACTTAATAAATTTTGCTCATCTAATTGAGCTTTGTATATGGCTTTTTTTGACTTGCGCTCTGCTACAGAATACAGAAGCCTATCATCTTCATTTCCAGACTTTTTCTGGATGTTATGCAATATCCTATTTTCTTATATAACTTTAGCCACTTTTTCATACCACTGCCAGGATTTTTTTGCGACATTGAAGACCACTTTTTCTTTCCATATACTTCATCAGATACATTAACAAGGCATTTCTTCATTTTTTTCCACATACTTTCCACATTTCTGATCCATATTTCTGATCTACCTTTCTGATTCCACATTTCTAATCCACATACTTTCCACATTTCCACTGATCTGATTTCCTTTATTGCTTTAATTTTCTTTTCAAAGTGTTTACACACTTCATCTTCTTTCAATTTCCAAATTCTGCAATCACAAAGATCTCTTTTCTTCAGATTTTCCACCAACATGTCACAAAAAATTTATTTGTGCTGTGGAATATAAGCCTCACTTGGCATTATTCTTATGTTACTTGCCTATTTTCCATGTTGCTTTCTGATTTAGATTTATTTCACTTGTGCCTCAAAACCACATGACTCATAAACTATTTTATGTTAATCCTTTTTGGTTAACCATATATTACAGACTGTCAATCCCATAGTATCAGAAAATTCCAACAACATCTCTCCTTCAGCATTTCTGATGCTAAATCCCTTTCCACCATGCCTCAAAACCATCTGAAGCCACACCAACATACCAATTTAAGTCTCAACATATTATCGACTTCTCATTCTCACCAATATTCTTCAAAATATTACCTAGAACAATGAAGAATCCTTTTCTTTACTGTATTACCTGTTTGAGACTCGGAAAAGTCTCAGACAGGAAAACTTAAAAAAAAGAACTTTTTTTTAATTTTACAGGTATATTGCCCTTAAAAAAGACAACAAATTTAAAATAGCTTAAAATATTTTGGAAAGCCTATTTTTTTTAAAGTAATTTTTTAAAATTTTGTTTAAAGCCATTTAATTTCTTCCTGGGGGTTGAAAACAGTAATTAAATTTTAAATGTTTTTATTTGTAATTGAAATTGATCTATTTTAGGCAAGGTGCCCTTAAAAAGACAATCTTATTATTGTTGATGTTTCCTTAACGATTAACTCAATTGGGGAGATATTTTGCATGGTATTATCTGCCTAGTATAGGTATCTTATAATAGAAAAAAATCTGGAATTATTTAATGATTTTATGAAATAATTAGAAAAGTCATGAAATTTAACCCAAATAACACTTTTCGTAATGAGCATTAGGAAACTGTTTTTTTAAAACTATTTTATTAATATTTTATTTTTTTCTTTCCTTTATATCTTAAAGTTTATTTTGCGATACTAACCACTGAAGAAAAAGATACTATGGTTGAGTATGTGTGATGTAAAAATTGGAATTACTAAAGTATGAACAGAAAAAAACTAAAAAATCTTATTAAGGATGTGTAAAAAATTCAAGATAAATGAAAAGATAAAAGGAAGAAGAAAGAATAATAAAAAAATAAAAGGAAGAAGAAAGTTATGCTATGGAAAACTTGTTTGAAGAAAAGGTAAACATTTTCTATTGTATTATTCAATATAGAAACTGTAAGTTTCTGTGTCTATGTCAGTTTAAAACAAATTTACAGAAAAAAGAACATCAAAAATAAGTACAGTGCTCTATCATGTAAATTATTTATATATAATACTGTATTAAATTACTGATTGTATCCATGAAATAGCCTGCTCTAATTTAGGCAATAATAAATTTGTCAATAACAAAAGTAAAAAGTATGTTTTTACAGGGTTTTGGAACTAGATTAAATGAGTTCATTAAAATAAGTCAGAAATGCTAATATAGATTTAAAAATATGAAATTTGTTCCAATTTAGTTTTTAAAGAAAAAATTTTAAAGAATGTTCATTATGTTTTAGATGATCTTTCAAAAGAATCAGTGATTTGTGACATCATGATTGAAGACAATCAAGAAGTAACTGGTCTTTGGACTGGTCAAATTGACAGAACAGTTCAATGAAACACCACAATTTGTTAACTATGGTGTTAATAGTTCAGCTATAGGATTAGTATATGATGGGTGTAATGAAAACTGTCAAAAAATGATTTGACATTATCGTGAATGTCTTACAAAAAAACCAATGAGGTCGCTATCTGGTACATTATACTAAAAATAACTTTAAACTTTAGATTATTATATTATGTTATATAGTAGTAGATATTAAAACCTATTTTATAAATTTTATTTTCTATAAGAACTTAATAGTACATTTTCAATTTTCTTAATAGTACATTTTCAATTTAATAGTACAATTTCAACATTTTAAGTGTACATTTTCAAAAAAATGACAAATTTTTACTGCTTAATCTATTACTTAGATGAAAAATGCACCTGCCATGTAATATTTAATTTTCCCAGTCTCATTTAGCAATTCTCGTTGAAGTAATTTAATGTTAGCTTTCAAACCTAACAAGGTTTCTGCTTTAGCAATAGCATAATCAGGTAGTCTTCTTTGATTAGGTAAGTGTTTATAGAAAATCTATTATAAAAAAACATTATTTATTCTTTATAATACATTAAAAATAGATTGTGATGTGTAGAAGTTGGTATTTGCAAGAGATAATATTTCAAAAAAAATTAATGATACAGTGAACTCTTGATATCTCAAACCTCTAAGGGACCGAGAAAAATAGTTTGAGTTGGTGAATGTTTGAGTTATGGAGACATTTTTTAACACAAACCTTTGTCAATAGGTAAAAAAATTTGAGTTATCAAAAGTTTTTATCTCAAAGGAAAAATAATACATTATAAATTATAAAATTTTCTGTCGTTCTGTCTTAGTTTTGAATAAACACCTCTATTAATTATTATAATTACAATTAAAGTTACACAGCTCAGATATGAACCATAGGTTCATCATTAGCTAGCAAGCTAGCTCGTATAGCTGCAATAATATAGCCATGGAAAATAATGTACTGTGGTAACTATGTGAGTTGCTGGTCTATTTGTTTTGAAACTGTCAATAGTAGAGGCATTGATAACATCATTCGGCAGAGCATTCCAAGTATTTGCAATTGTTATTCCAAGTATTTGCGATTGATTGATTCCAAGTATTTGCAATTGTTATTCCAAGTATTTGCGATTGTTGAAAAAGTCAAGTCGAACGAGCCAGTTGCTATTAAATTCACGATAGAAGCATTTGCGATGACCATAGATGGGAGGAATGTATATTGGGTCAATATGCCAGTTGATTAATTCAGTTTTATTTTCAATTTTGAAATTTTGGATAAGGTCGCCACATTTTCTTCTGTCACTTGGTGAAGTTAGTCCAAGTATATCACATCTTGTTTTGTAATCAAGGTGCTTTAATTCATGAGGTTTTTTTGTGGCACGATGTTGAATTTGTTCAATTTCAGTAATTTTTTTTTTAAGGTGAGGGCAACAGGTGGTGATAGGATATTCTAGATGTGGACGTACATATGTTGTATAGAGGTTTTTCCAGATTTTTACAACTTTGCTAATAAAGGTATGCTTCAACATACCTAAGACTTTGTTAGCTTTAGCAGCAGCGGTGAACACTTGACTTTTGTACTTTAAATCAACAGATAGTTGAACACCAAGGTCTTTTTCCAATGTTGTTGTTTCTAGCTGGATTCTTTTGACTCTGCTATTTGGATTGGTTGATGTGCATAACTTTACATATTTTGATGTTAAGTTGAATGAGCCGTAATTGGATCCAATTGACAATATTATTAATGTCACCTTGCAGACCAAGTTTGCTTTCTAAAGTGTTAACTACACTGAGGACTTTTGTGTCAACTGCGTACATTTTGCATTTATTTTTGCTGTTAATGTATTTTGGTAAGTCAATAATATAGACTATAAACAGTGTTGGACCAAGAAATAAGCCCTGATGAATGCCACAAGTTACCTGTTTCCAATCTAATGCAACATTACCAAAGAGGGCACGTTGTGTTCTGTTAGAAAGAAAGGCATTAATCCAATTTAAAACATTTCCACTAATTCCATAAGATTCAAGCTTTTTTAGTAACCTTTCGTGAGGAACTTTGTCAAATGCTTTGGCAAAATTGAGAAATAAGGCGTGTTGTATTTGTTAAATATATTTAGCAATGTTTATGTTAATATTGTATTTGTTAGGAATTTACTTTATATTAGTAATTGTAGTATTGTAAATATCCTTGAAATGTTAACATTAATTTCAGAATATATTTTATTTGATTTATGCACAAAAATAGTTTATGAGTAATTCCATGTCAATTGAGCCAGGTCATGTCACCATACATCTCAGATTTTGCTGATTTTTATACAGTTGAGAGTACTTAGTAAAACAAAAAATCCTTGAAAATTTTAGCTTCTAGCTCCAAGAGGATCATGAAATATGATCATTTTACTTTTAACTGATCTTGGCCAGGCCCCTCTTGTCCCCTCAGAAGTGTGACCTTTGTTTAAAGGTTCCAAGTCGCATAGCTTTAAAAATATTTGATCTTTTAACTTAAAAATTTGTACCTGGCTATTTTCAGGGTCGAAGAATCCAATGAAATAATCAGAAATGTAAAAAAATTATTTTTAAGTACTTGTAATTATCAATTTAAATAAATTTCGGCAATTTTTTATATACCTGATTTTGATGTTCAAGAAAGCCATGTGGCCTTGATGATATAAAAAAAAAATTGTACACATTATTCTATGTTTAATGATCTTTCAGAAAACATAAAAATTTTGATCTGCAAGTATATGGATTTCCATATATGGTTAACGGGGCACAGGCCCCACTATTTTGTTGCAGAATCTTGCCATACATTTTTCACTACCTTTCAGACTAGCTGGAACGATGAAAATTTTTGTATTTATGTAGTGTCAATAAATGTGCATTTTAAAATTAAAAAAAGGCCCAAGACACTAGGGGAGGGGGCTGGGGGGATGTGTCCCACTTTTTTGACCGGAATCTTGAGATGAATTTTTCAGTATCTTTCAGACAAGCGTGAGCTTTGAAACTTTCAGCATTTGTGTAGTCCTGATGAACATGCATTAAAATAGTTTCAGGTCAGACGACTAGAAGGTCCATGGGGCTGGGGCACCAGGGACCATGCCCCACTTATTTCCTCAAAAAAAAAATTTTTTTTTTTTTTTTAACACATTTTAACACATGAAACTATTGTCTTCAAAAAATTTTTTTAGTTTTTTTATTTTTAACAATGTTAAACATATCTTTGGTAACATTGCTTCCACAAATTTTTGTGAAATAAATTGCTTCCACAAATTTTTGTGATTTATATTTGTTCAATTTGGTTTTTGCTCATTCTATGTTCAATGATCTTTCTTAAAATGTTTTAAGAAAGTTAATGTTTATAAGAATTTTGATTTGCATGTATAAGATTAAAAACAGTCTAAAATAATGGTTTTACCAGAATTTTATTTTGTATAATTTAAAATTTTAATTAAAAAAGATTAATATATTTTAATGCTAAAATGGTAACAGCAAGTTGCTTAATTAACTTCCAACAGAAAAAAACATCCTGTCATAACATTATATCAATAAAAAAGAAATTTATCAATTTTTCAAAATCATTATTTTATTTGATATTTGCTAATTCTAAAATGTTAACAGCAAGTTATTTTATTAAATAAGAACTATTTACAGTAACAAAAAACATCCTGTCATTACACTAGTATAGAAGAAATTTGTTACCTATTAAAGTCATCATTAACATTTTTATCATAAACAAATTGATTATAATTAAACTTTGTGAAATGGAAACTTTCTTTTTGTCAAAGTAAGATAAAAGAAATCAATCACTATTTAGTTTTGTATTACCATGGTGATTGCTTAAGTTGCTTTCATTGAATTAATTACTATTGGTTTCTCATATTTAAATTAATCTCAAAATGTTTTTAGTGTTACAGTAAGAATGGATTCATGTGATTTTGGAAAAAAATTAAATGATACTTGTCATAAACTAAGTTATGTAGAAAGACTGATTTAAAGAAATTTGATTGCTATAGAGAAGATGCCAGAGAAGAATTTATTTGGAGATCTGGAATAACAGATGATAAAATTTTAACAATCTGCCTTCATCATGAAAAGATTTTTGGTACAAACTTTGAAAAGAAGCACACAAAATGTTGCAATTTATTGGACAAGCATAAATCAAAAAAAAATGCAATCAAAGGTAAATATTGTTGAAAAAAAATTATTGTAAAATATTTTTTGAATAATGAAATTAAAATCTACTAGTTTATAAAAGTTTGAAAAAAAGCTGATCTGGTTATGCAATGTATATGGAAATAAGTACAAATAATTTTCATATTCATAGGTAATTACTAAAATCAAATTGTTCTTTTCTTTTCAGGGAGTCATAATAATAACATTAGACATGGCAAAGCAATTGAGAATTAATTTTCCAAATGTTGTGCCTGGATATCAACTTTGTCGGAGCTGCTTTGACGCTATAATCAGTAAATTTCATGAACAAGATAATTGTGAATTTGAGGAATCTATTTCATGTGCTACTTTTGAAAAGTTATGAGAGGCATTAAATGTTAGTTTGGAAACAATAGGTGTATCCCCCATAAAACTTCATGGCATTCCAAAGCATCAACGGCTATCTGTTGCTAAAAGTAAAGTTATAAAAATAATGTCAAAGTATGAAGAGCATATTTCAAAAGTATATAATGATAGGGAAGAAGAACTGAAACATAAAATTCCTCATACGAAAATTATTGACAAAAGTAAATGTGATGATTTAGACAAACTAACAGCAAAAATAAAAAAAAAGTTAATTGTTTCTGACCAAAAAACTAAAAATCAGTTATTAACATTTACACCCGAGTCTTGGTCAAGAAATTTTGCTGCAAGATATTTCAACGTCACTATATACCAAATTAAAGAAGCGCGCAAACTAAAGAAAATAAGTGGGATTTTTTCAGTTCCAGGCACTAAGAAAGGAAAAACATTTTCAGAAATAACATTAAATAGATTCAACAATATATACCATGATGAAGAATTTACTAGACAAATGCCTGGTAAAAAAGATTACGCAAGTATTGGTAGAAAACAACACATGCAAAAGCGTCTTATTTTATGTAATCTTAAAGAACTTTATGTTTCTTTTAAAACTAAATATCCTCAAGAAGTTATTGGATTTTCTTAGTTTTGCAGTTTAAGACCAAAATGGTGTATAACTGTTGGAGCATCAGGCACTCATTCTGTTTGTGTATGTACCCTCCATTAAAATGCAATACTCTTGACCAATGCTATACAAATGATCTATCAGACAACAACTATTGAAGAATACAAATTGATGTTATCAGAGGCAATAAACAAGTTAACAGCTCATTCCTACATTGCAAAATGTCAATCAAGATACCTAAAGCAACAAAAGGAAAATTTAGCAAAAAACTGCTGTATTGTCTTAGTTAACTTTGCAGAAAACTTCACTTTTGTGATTCAAGATGAAATCCAAAGTTACCATTGGTGCAAAAGTCAATGCACATTGCACCCTGTTGCCCTCTATTTAT